TAACACACAGGTGACAAATTAAAAATTCACTCAATTATTTCCTCCAGATGAAATTATAAAGTGAATACTTCAAAGGAAATGGTTCATTTTATTTTTAACAACAGATGATTAGGCTGGGTCTACATAGAAAATGGTCAATATTTTATTCTTTATGCTCAAAATTCTTATGCAGTGCATGTGACACACATGTAAATTTCAAACAAATTGACCTTGAACAGGACTAGTGCTCACAAAGTCTTTCCTGTTTGAGGAGAAAAATGCTTCAATAACTCAATGACATTCGTAGGTCTCCACATCTATCAATGATGATTGATAAGGGAGTAGATGAACTCTTCAAGTACATGTCTTAGTCTGATTGATTAATTCAATTGAAAAGTTACTTAACTGCAACTAATCTGAGACACTGAAAAGTTGAAAGTAAAGCTGGTTCAAATATTAGGTCTGTGCAAAGAGTTCAACTGGTTAAGGCAGCTGTTTGATGAAAGGAGTTTATTGACTCTGTTGTCATAACTTCAACCCAGGAAGGAGGGATATTTATTCAACTGAGCTAGTTGTAAGGTTGTAGTTACTAATATAGATGATAATCTATGAATAAAGTGCATTAAGTTGCAGTTAACAGCTATTAACTCAGCTGGTTAAAGAACTATTCTTAGAGAAATAGCAGACATCGATCATTGCTAGAATTAATACGGATTACTTTTTAACGCTGAATTGAATTATCTACCTAACTTTGGTCACTCATTTTATTAAGTAACTCTGTCAATTGGTCATTTGCTATTCAATCTCATAAATAACTTTGATTAAAATGATATTTATAAGTAATTTTAATGTACTTAATATTTTTGTAAAGTTATGGCTTTACAAAGAATAAACACTCATTACAGAATAATCAACTTTTAAACTCCATTCTTGATACTTCAACAGGAAGCAATTAGCTGGAGATAGTAGCACAGTGGTAAATAGCAGGTGGGAAGCAATGGTGTAAACATGTTGCCACTGCACTAGTAATCCTGACATCCAGGTTCAAACTCCTCCATTGCAAATCTGAAAGTGACTGATGACTGCAACCATTTGCTGATTGGTGTGAAGTCCCATCTGGTTCACTTAATATCTCTCGGGGCTCTTGTGATGCAGTGTTGGTGTCCCAGCTTCTGAGCCAGGAGGCCCAGGTTCAAGTCAAATAACATCTCTGAACAGGTTGATTAGAAAATATTTGGCATTGTGGTAATGTGACTAGGCTAGTAATCCAGATACGCAGTCTAATGCTCTGGGGACAATGGTTCAAGTCCTATCATGGCAGCTGGTGGAATTTAAATTCAATGAATGAATCTGGAATATAAAATTAGTCTTAGTGATGGTGATTATGACAATTGTCAGTGATTATCACTATAAAATAACTGTTTCACAAATATTCTTGGGAGTGCAGAAATGTGCTAACCTTACCCCACTTGTAGTTTACCTGTATCTCCAAACTCATAGCAATGTGGTGATTATTAACTGCCATCCAAAATTGCTGAGCAAGGAATGAAGTTCAAGGATAATTACAGATGGGAAATGAATGCTGGCCTTGTTAGCAACAGTAAAAGCTTCTACGGGTATGTAAAAAGAGAACAGCTAAAGTAAGTGTGGGGCTCTCAGATGATGCAAACTGGAGAACTGTACTGGGAGAAACGGCAGAAAGCGATTGAGAATATCCTATATCGTGTTGTGTAGCACAATCACTCTGTTAAATAGGATAGACTTTGAACGGCTCTAGTAACTCAATACTGGACATTCATAAGGTACTGGGCTATCAGCTACTGGAGAATAGTACTCCCATACAACTTGGCATATCAATCATTCTATAATTAACAATAAGTGAAGTGATCAACCCTAATTCAATGAAAAGTACAGGATGGCATGCCAGAAGCAGCACAAGTCATACCTAAAATGAGGTGTCAACTTGGTAAAGCCCTAAAATAGAACCAATTGCATGCCAGACTGCATTAACATCAAGTGATAGACAGTGTGAAGCAATTCTACCATGAATGGATCAGATTCAAGCTCTGCAGTCGTGTCATTTCCAGTCATGAATGGTGGTGGAAAATTAAACAATTCATTGATATTGATGGCTCCACAAATATCCCTATACTTACTATCCAGCGAGCTGAGCACCTCGGTGTAAAAGGGAAAACTGAAATGCTTACAACAATTTTCAGCCAGAAAGTGTGATGTGGATGATTCATCTTGCTCTCTTCCAGACATTCTCAGCATCACTGCTGCCAGTCTTCAACAAATTCGATTTACTCCATGTGATATCTAAAATGTATTGGATACTGTAAAGGCTATGGTCCCTGACAACATTCTCCCAATAGTCCTGAAGACATGTACTCCAGAACACACTGCACCCATAGTCAAGCTATTCCAGTACAGCAACTACACTGTGATTATTATAGGTACAAAAGACACTTTACTGTTCACTGTGTCAACTGAACTGTTATTTGGTTCTTGTTACCTTGCTACAAATCCTCCAATTCCCTCAGATAATGCTGAATTTAACAAAAACTCATAGGATAATTACAGGCTTTAAACTATTATATTTACCAGTAATTGGAAAAGGTTTCTTAATACAAAGATCACTGTCCAGACATAAACTTTAAAAAGCTTACAGACATTTATGGACCTGTTACTGAAAAGCAAACATAAAGAGAAACTATTGGTTTGGCATTAGTGCAGAAGACCAGCTCATGAACAAACTCATATTGTTTAGATCCAAAGTTACTGCAGTCATAATACAAATGAGAAGTAAGTCTAGTCACAATGTTTTCACACTTACAGAAATCCTTTTATCCATTGATGCATGATGATGAGCCTAAAATGGGCTTGCAATATTCAATGAGCTTACTGCAGAGGCTGAGTTTTGCAACCATTAAACTGAAACGTTTTGGATGAGAAGCAATCAATAGGCTATTACAGACGGTGTGCATTAAATTGTCACTTATCTTCAGGTTTCAAAATTTGGAGAAGCTTATAAAAGTAAAAGAGTCAAGTGCACTTGATCAGATGGGATTGTCAGCTGGAAGGACAACAATCAATGCACACTGGGAAAATTACAATTACAACACATGTACCTGATAGTAAAATGTACAAACATTGAGCAGTGCCCTTATCACCATATCAAAGAGAATCTTCAGATCCACCAATCATTGCATTTTTGTTATTTTTTGAAAGGACAAACAACAGACTGTGACTCTTTCAAACTTCGTTATAGTTTCGCAGCACATTATTTGTGTATGGAATGGAGATTTATCTTAATTGATGCACAGAGAGATCTGGTACAGCTCCATTGTACCCTGAAGGTGGCAACGCAGGTCGATAGAGTGGTCAAGAAGGCATACGGCATGCTTTCATTCGTCGGACAGGGTATTGAGTACAAGAGTTGGCAGGTCATGTTACAGTTGTATAGGACTTTGGTTCGACCACATTTGGAATAATGCGTGTAGTTCTGGTCGCCACATTACCAAAAGGATGTGGATGCTTTGGAGAGGGTGCAGAGGAGGTTCACCATGATGTTGCCTGGTATGGAGGGCGCTAGCCATGAAGAGAGGTTGAGTAGATTAGGATTATTTACATTAGAAAGATGGAGGTTGAGGGGGGGACCTGATTGAGGTTTACAAAATCATGAGAGGTATAGACAAGGTGGATAGCAAGAAGCTTTTTCCCAGAATGGGGGAATCAATTACTAGGGGTCACGATTTCAAGGTGAGAGGGGAAAAGTTTAAGGGAGATATGCGTGGAAAGTTCTTTACGCAGAGGGTGGTGGGTGCCTGGAATGCGTTGCCAGCGGAGGTGGTAGAGGCGGGCACAATAGCGTCATTTAAGATGTATCTAGACGGATACATGAATGGGCAGGGAGCAGAGGGATACAGATCCTTGGAAAATAGGCAACAGGTTTAGACAGAGGATCTGGATCAGCGCAGGCTTGGAGGGCCGAAGGGCCTGTTCCTGTGCTGCAATTTTCTTTGTTCTTTGTTCTTGTTCTTAAGCAGACTAGGGTTTTTTGGATCAAATAAGGAACAAGACTGACGTGCTTTATTTTCTTGAAACTTCAGACACTCTAAAACTCTTCACAGCCAATGAAGTACTTTCTGAATATAGTCACTTGGGTTATGGAGGGAAGTATAGCACTCACATTGAACATTGTAAGGTTTTACAAATTGCAATGACTGGGCAGCTGTTTAGGTGATGGTTATTGAGCAATAAGTGTCAGTGAAGGCACCATGGGAAATCTCATAAATAAAACAAAGAAATATGAATGCTGGAGATCTGAAATAAGCAAAAATAAAACAGAATGCTGGAGAAATTCAGCAGGTCTAGCAGCATTAGTGGAGAGAAAACAGAATTAACATTTTGAGTCCAATGACCGTTCTTCACATCTTCCAATGGGAAACTTAATGTGGTTCTATGATGTGTACTGTAGCATCTTATAGGCCCATTTCAGAGGGACACAGGATCTCATTCAACATCTCACCTGAAATATAGAACTGCTGACAGTGCAGCATTTGCTAAAGGCTTTGGTATAATAATGTGCTGAAATTTCTGAATGGGATTTGAACTTTCAACGTATGATGTAGAAGCGAGAATACAAACACTAAAATAAACATAATAATTGCCAATGCGTGTATGATCAAGCTTGATTATAAATCCTTTCTCTGTCCTGTAACAAGATAGCCGACATGTAAAAGTATTCTAACATTCTTCTTCCAAATACATTGTGCAACAAGAGTCCATAAGTAAAAATATACTGACGTGGTTCTTTCAAGCAGTTATACATACAAATTTAGATACTAGCATAGAAATTTGTTCTGAATAAAACCAAACCTTATATATCCATTTCTGTAGTCTGTTCTTAAATACGTTATGAAAGATAACGGGTATTTCATAAATTTGAACAACTAAAAAACAGTTTTATGAATTGCATAAAAATGGAAACATTAAGAGTCACCACTTTTTGTACATACCTTTGATCCACTTCACTTCTGGGTCACGTATTTTGAACTCGATTTTGAACAGGTCATCCAAGGTTAGTCGAGCATCTGCTGTTTTTGAAGTATCATCTGAAGTAAAATAAATATCATGGCAATAAGTTACATTTCCATAATTTATAACATAGAACTGACAAAGTAAACACAGTATATAATTTTGATGGTTTTCCTCCGTAACTCCGTAACTACATCTGGAATAATATTTTACATTATCTCTAATATTTATGCAAAATGAAAATGGAGGACCAAGTGATTGTGTAAGCATGTATTAGATTTATATCTGCATTTTTTTTCAAATTATTCTAAATGATATAAATTCTGATAGTGGCCTGGTATTCTTTTGAATAAATCATTTCCTTGCTTCCAGTGATTAACGTTTAGGAATCTAGAAGAACTAGAAGGATCTATGCAATTAGCTCAAAGATGTAACTTTCAGTCATTACTGTGAGTATTTAAAATAGTGTAGTCCACATACAAAGCAATCCTCCCTAAAAATGCAACTTTCATATTTTTCTCACGTTGTTAAAGATCCTACTTACTATGAGGGTCAGTGTGGAATTGTTGGGCCAAAGGACCTGTTTCCACACTGTAGAGATTCTATGGATGGATTCTATGAATTGTTGTGGACCAGTCCAAAGTAGCTTCAAATACAATCAAGGAGTTAATCTAGACCCTAACTTTTATCTTATTTAAAGGCAAGTACAAGGTGCTATGTTCCAGATGTAACTTAATTGGTTACACTACTTGGCTTTAAGTAAAACATGCTTTATTCTTACCTTACAGTTAAAATACAAACAAAAGAAAAAAGAATTGGTATAACTTTAACTCTATTGGATAACGTAACAGAATAATACATTATCTAACTACTAAATAACAACTTTTCCAATATCGGAGCAACCTATAAACACACCCTTGGCAAAGGCAAATTCAGTAAAATAGATTGTCTCACATGCGATGTTTCTTCAGTCCAGGAGAAAAGAACACTGAGAGAAAATTCTGGTAGAGAGGTAGGGCAGTTTCCATAACCAACTTCAAAACCCCAAAAACTGCTGAAAGCTAAACTAAAATCCTGGTTCTATGGGAGCCTGAATCTATTCATTCATGGTGCTTCTATTGTTCCAACTTAAACAAAAAACAAGGGCTCACAAATTGTTTATTTTATTGGCTTGGAAGAGAGAGCTCTGCACCTCTGGCTCAAAACCTCTTTTCAAAAAAGAAAGGACAAAATACACCTCTTAAAGCCATAGTATCATCAGACTATTCACAGTACATTTCCTCTATGCTAGTGAGACAAAATAAATAGGATGACACTTTTTTTCTACTTCTGCTATTACTATTTAGTCAAAAATGTGATTCCAAGCAGCCTGTGGCTTATTATTTCAACCCTCACTCCTATTTCCACTCTAGGTTTTTTTTAAATCTTTTGTCTTCAAGACTATTCCACCTGCCTTCTTCACTACCCTGCCTACCTGGGACTCCAATTCAAGAAAATATGAACCTGCACTCCGAAGTCTCTTTGTTCAGCAACACTCCCCAGGACCTTCCCATTAAGTTTATGAGTCTTGCCCTGATTTGCCCTACCAAAATGTAGCACCTCACATTTATCTAGATTAAACTCCATCTAACACCCCTCGGCCCATCTGAGCAAGGTCCTGTTGCACTCTGAGATAACCTTTGCTGTCCACCACACCACCAATTTTGGTGTCATCTGCAAATTTACGAACCGTAGGTTAGGGTTAGGGCTAGAGTTGAATCCAAAATTGGCTTAGTGGTAGGAGGTAGGGTGATGGTCAAAGCTTAGTTCATGACTGGAAGCTCGTATCCAGTGGCACATCACAAGATTTGATCCAAGGTCCCTATCTGTTTGCAGTGAACATTAAATGATCTCAATGATTGTTGGAGGATGATTAGTAACTACTTAGGTGACAAAATTTGGTGCCATGGTAAATGGACTAAAGCACAATTCAGATGAGCTGGTCAAGTGGACTGAGTAGTGGCAAATCAATTTAATCCTGAAAAGCATGATGTGAAGCATTTAAGGGAACTAACGAGGCAAGTGAGCACACAATAAATGGCAGAATCTTAGTAAGTACAGAGGAATCCTAATAGGCATGTCAACAGTTCTTTGAAGGCAGCAGGGCAAGGGGATAAGGTGGTTAAAAAGGTATTGCTAAAAACTTAAACTCACGAGATGTGGGCATCATTGGCCAAGCCAGCATTTATTGCCTATCTGTACTTGCCCAAGCGCAGTTCAGAGTTAACCACATTGTTGTGGGTTTAGAGTAACACGTAGGCCAGAACAGTTAACGACAGCAGTTTCCTTCCTTAAAGGACATTAGTGAACCAGACGTGTTTTACCTGACAGTCAACAAAGCTTTCATGATCAACATTAGACTCAATTTCACATTTTTATTAGATTCAAATTTCACCATCTGCCATGGCAGGATTCAAACTCAGATCCCCAGAATGTTGCCTGGATCTCTGGATTAATAGTCCAATGATAATACCCTTAGGCTATCACCTTCCCAGATACTTGCCTTCATTAGTTGATGCATAGAGTACAAGCCCAGGGTGGTTTTAGTTGAGAGGCTGACGTTTCTGGCCTAGACCCTTCATCAGAAAAGGGGGAGGGGAAGGGGGTTCCGAAATAAATAGGGAGAGAGTGGGAGGCGGATAGAAGAGGGATAGAGGAGAGGATAGGTGCCCTCCACCTCCTCCAGAACTTCCAATTCCCCGGTCCCCAACACCTCATCTTTACCATGGACGTCCAGTCCCTCTACACCTGCATTCCCCATGCAGATGGCCTTAAGGCCCTCCGCTTCTTCCTGTCCCGCAGGCCCGACCAGTCCCCGTCCACTGATACCCTCATCCACTTAGCCGAACTCGTCCTCACACTCAACAACTTCTCTTTCAATTCCTCCCACTTCCTACAGACAAAGGGGGTAGCCATGGGTACCCGCATGGGCCCAAGCTACGCCTGCCTCTTTGTAGGTTACGTGGAACAATCCCTCTTCCGTACCTACACCGGCCCTAAACCCCACCTCTTCCTCCGTTACATTGATGACTGTATCGGCACCGCCTCGTGCTCCCACTAGGAGCTCGAACAATTCATCCACTTCACTAACACCTTCCACCCCAACCTTAAGTTTACCTGGACCATCTCTAACACCTCTCTCCCCTTCCTGGACCTCTCTGTCTCCATATCGGGCAACCACCTAAAAACCGATATTCATTTCAAGCCCACCGACTCCCACAGCTATCTAGAATACTCCTCCTCCCACCCACCTTCCTGCAAAAATGCTATCCCCTATTCCCAATTCCTTCGCCTCCGCCGCATCTGCTCCCAGGATGAGGCATTCCACTCCCGTACATCTCAG